ATTCTTCCTGATTGAGTTTTGGAATGTCATATTTTCTAGGAATATGTCCACTTCTTCTAGGTTGTCCAGTTTGTTGGAATAGAGTTGTTCATAGTATTTTTTTTTTTTTACAATCCTTTGTATTTCTGTGGGGTCTGTTGTTATTTTGCCTCTTTCATTTCTGATTTTGTTTATTTGGGTCCTCTCTCTTTGCTTCTTGGTGAGCCTGGCTAGAGGTTCACCAATCTTGGTTATTCTTTCAGAGAACCAGCTCTTGGTTTTATTGATCTTTTTGTATTTTTTTCTTGGTTTCTGTCATTTATTTCTGCTCTGATCTTTATTATCTCCTTCCTTCCTTCTGCTCACTCTGGGCTTTTCTTGTTGCTCTCTTTCTAATTACGTATTTTAAGTTGAAGAGTTAGATAATTTATTACCAGTGTTTCTTGTTTTTGGAGGTAGGCCTATAATGCTATGCACTTCCCTCTCAGGACTGTTTTCACTGTGTCCCATAGATTTTGGATTGTTGTGTTTTCATTGTCATTTGTTTCCAGGATGTTTTTAATTTCTTCTTTGATCTCTTTGGTAACCCAACTATATACTTTTTGATTAGACTGTGGTAATAGATTTGTGACATGGCCTTAGTTAGTATTTCCTGCTTGTCTCTAAAAAACCAGCAGTTTTCTCCTTCACATTCTCATCGATATTAGATGTGTTTTTATATTATAAGCATGAGTAGTCACAAGTTGAAAGTATGTATTTAGCTTTGGAATCAAACATTTTTAGGATGTTAAGTACCTTTGGTGGCAGTTTAAAATTATTTCTAGATTTATGATAAATTTAAAATTGTTAGCATTCGTTTAGATACACATATACATTTTAATTTTTAAAAGCTATTCAGGTATTACACGCTTGTCTGCTGATGGGAATGATCCAGTAGAAAAGGAATAAATGATGGTGTACAATAGAATGAATAACTGTTGAACATTTGTTAGTGAATCCCAATTTGACAGTCCTTCAGGACCTCTTGAACATGCTTTTGAGAGACTTCAATTTTTATGGAAAGCATATACACTTAGATGAATACATTTGAAATTGGACCAAAAACTCAAAAACTATTCAGGTATAGCATGTATTGGCATTATGTTTAATGGATTGTCATGTTTTCTTAGGTTGCCAGCCGAGTGCAGAAGTATTTCATAAAACTAACTAAAGCTGGCATTCCAGTCCCAGGCAGAACACCAAACTTATATATATACTCCAAAAAGGTAAGAAGAAAATATGTGAAAATAAATCTTAGATCAGAGATTAAACTCATCAAAGTCAGAATTGCTATGTAAAGATGTATACATTTATTAAAATGAACTTGTTTTATTTTTAAAAGTTCACTTACTCTAAGCATTTTGTTATATTGAGCATAAACACAGGGCAGGATTCCATGATTGCTACTCAGTTTAATTGAGAGAGCTTTAATGATGTTTGTTCATTATTTTCTTTGGAGTAGGTTAACTTATGTGAATGAGTGCTGCTTGAAATATTTTATTTTATATTGAATGTGTCAGAAAGGCCTTTGTGATGTTAAAGTTTTTAAGATTTTGACACTTTAATAAACACTATCAGTTTCCAGTTTTTAGATATGCTACTTAAATCCAAGAATAGAAATGTTTAAGATATTTTATTTGATCCTCACTGTTATTCTAGAAGTGTAAGTAATATCACCTTCACTTTACTGGTAATGATGTTAGTAGCTAGCTGTTATTCTCATGAATGATTGAATGCTCTGGGCCAGGTACTGTTGTACAATCTTTTTATAGATGAGACAAGTAGGCCTTATAATATGTTGGGTAGATTGTCTACTCACATTACTATTAAATCTGGGAACCACTGATCCTCTGATTCTGATCTCAAGTCATTTCCACTGTTGTTCTCTGGTTGTCTCCACAGTGAAAAAGCTACTGTCCCTTTCCTACATAGCACATTGCATCAAATTGTAGCCAGGGTTGTTGTTTTGCTTTAATTACAAAAAGTAAAGCACCTAATGGCCTAATTTCATTTCCTTAGTAAATCATCCTGGTACTTCTCCTCCTCTACTACTGCCATCCTTCATATAAAGAGAAGCTAAGAGCATATTAATGCTGTTGCTCTTTTTTTATTGAAGCTATACGTTTTGTTTTTATTCTTTTTACCAAGTTTTGGAAGCTTATTTTAATTTATCAGTTGTTTAAAATATTCTGGGTTTTGTTTTCCCCTAAATATTAGCATTACCTATATTAGATATGTAGAATTTACCCTATAACTTTGGAGTGTTGGAACCTTGATAACCAACGTTCAACTTAACAGCTCTAATTTTTATGGCTAGTTTCTAAGTTAATCTTAGATGTGTTGTGTACCTTTTTTTCCCACATCTAAGACTAGATGGTGATAACAAAAGAAGTACTAGAGAAACCTAAATGTGTTCCTTCCTCTGAGTGCAAAGAATTTTAAGTTGTCAGACATTTTTACTGTAGAGATCTAGCCCAGCCATAGACACAATGATTCCTTGCCATGATTAGACTTTGAATTTTCAAAAATAAAATAATGGTTCTCTGTGTAGCTGAGGCTATTATTCTTTGTGACCAATGAAGAGAGGCATTCTATATAGTGGCTTAGAGTGAGGGCTCTGGCCTCCCACAGGCCTAGTTTGTGATACTGGTTCTACCACTATCTCCTGCAACACCTTGTACAGCAGCTTAACCTCTTTGTGCCTCCATTTCTTGATCTTAAATTAAAGGTGGTAATAACGGCTTTATAGGACTGAGGTAAGGATTAAATGAGGTTGGCATAGAGTAAGCAGTCAGTCAGTGTTAGGTTCCATTTTCAGACATTCACCATGTTGTGGAAATTTTCCTTTTACTTGATAGTTTTATATCTGGCTAAGGCTACTTCATCTTCCCTGAGGATTGTAAGAGGAGTTCAGTTCAGCATTTGAGTGTCAAGAGTGTGATAAATACTGGTGATACAAATATAAGCTAGATAATGAGCATGTGGTCCTGTTGTTTGGGTACTCCCCCTCCATGTCTCTTTTTTTGTTTTTTAAAGGTTAATTGTGCTTTAAAAATCCAGTTAATGTAGGTAAAGCAGCTGCATAGGAGTGTGATGAATGATAGAAGTGAGCCCTAGCTGGTTTGGCTCAGTGGATAGAGCATTGGTCCTCAGACTGATGGGTCCCAGGTTCAATTCCAGTCAAGGGCACATACCTCAGTTGCAGGCTCTATCCCTGGCCCTGGACCAGGCACCAGCGGGAGGCAACCAATCGATGTTTCTTTCTGTCTGTTTCTCCCTCTCCCTTCCACTCTCTCTAAAAATCAGTGGAAAAACATCCTCAGGTGAGGATTAACAACAACAGTAAAAAAAATAGTAGAAGTAAAATCCTTCTAATAGACTTGTAGGAAGTAACATTTATATTTTTATCTTCTTGATTATTTTAATGATTTTCCACTGTTCCAATTAAAAATTTGTTTTCTCATTTAGTCTTCAACAAGCAGACGACAGCACCCTCTTAATAAGCATCTCTTTAAACCTTCCACTTTTATGACTTCCCACGAACCACCAGTGTATATGGATGAAGATGATGACCGATCTTGTTTTCATAGCCACATGAGCACTGCTATCGAGGAGGCATCAGTAAGTTAACTGTTTTTACTACAGATGTATATTTGTCTATGCACTGTACACATTAGGGCCCAAACAAGCACACCAGGATTTTCTCATTATTCCTACTCTTTGGAGAATGAGGGTTTCTTTTCTTTTTTTAATTAACAAGTCAAATTTATGGGTCTTTTATTACATTGTGTTTAATTTTTTTAAGTAATTGAAATAGAAGAGGATAATAAATCCATATTCACCCATCATCTAACTTTAACAATTATCAATTTATGGCAATCTAGTTTTTATCTATACTTCCTACCCATCCCAACTTTGTCACAAATTATTTCAGAGAAAATCCTAGACATTACACAGTTTCATTATGTTTGTAAAGGTAATTCTTTATATGATCAAATATACATTCAGTTCACATTTCCCCAATCATAAATTGCAATAGGTTCTCCCCTCCTTTTTTCTCTCTTACTTTTTTTTTTGTTGTTGTTGGTAGTGAAAAACTGGGTCATTTGTCTTGTAGAATTTACCATTGTGTGGATATTATTGTTTGCATCATCCTGGTATCATTTAACCTGTTTCTCTGTTCCCTGAATTTCCAGTAAATTTATAGGTCTAGCTAGTTGATCAGACTAAAATTTGTTAAGGTGGGCAGGACTATTTCATTTGTACTTTCATCCGTTTGATCATCTCTCTTTTTTTCTTTTTGACATAGCCATTGCTTTTTGCCTAGATCCATTAATTCATTAAATGTTACAAAATAGTGATATTCTTTCTTTTCTTCTTTATTTATTTGATTATCCTACATACAGGAAAAGGCAGTATAGCTGCTGAGGGAGAGTAGGGGAAGTAGAAAGAGACACAATAAAACTGTTCACACTGGTTATTTGAGGGCAGGGAAGTAGGTTGGAAGGAGCATTGTTAACTTTTTAAAAAAATGTATGGATACCTTTACTCTTTGCTTATTATAGTGAGCACTTACTACGTTAGCAATTTGAAAAAAAAAAACACTTTGAAATAAATCTAGTCCTGGTCACCACCATGAACACTCGATAATTTTAGAACAACGCAGACTACTGCTTAGTTCTTCCCTTTATTTTGTTTTTAAAATACTGAGTTTATTCTCTACTATCTTCCAAAAATGAATGAGATTTTAAAAGTTTATATTCTTAAAAACTGTTGGATTTAAATATATTTAATATGTTTTAGTCCATTGACAGTTGTAACCTATTCAAGTTGGATTTTGAATTCTTTTGACAAGACTCCAGTAGTCTTTGATAGCTTCCTTACTGTTTGGTATGATAAGGAAGTTCTGGGCTCTTTTTGTATATTTCCTACCTCAGGCCTAGCATCAGTCCTGCTTTCTTTTATTGGGAAATAATATTAGTAAACTATATCCTGACTCCAGAAATGTTATTTGCTACTTGGTTGATCATTGTTTCTAGGCCTGTTTAGTGGCAAGAGCTGGGAAGTATATTTTTGTTCAAAGATAAAACACATCATAAGTTTATATTTTTATTTCAAATACAACTTTACTGTGGGAATTTTACTTTCCCTCATTAATCTTAATATATATCTTCTTTCTCCCGTTTTGAAAACCCCATTTACCAGTAACATCAACATAATAATATTCACTTTCTTTGTCTTACACTGCTTACAACAGTCTCAGAATATAATACTAACACTACCATCTATATCCTATATAATAAAGAGGGAATATGCTAATTGGTCCTGACGGTGTCGACCAGTCAAAGGTGTGCAA